ATCACTTCCGATAAACAATAAGATCAGATACAGTGCCAAAGAAATGGCCTGGAGCATAAATACTCTGTGGTGCCTTCTTCTTCTCTTTATTTAGCTAAATAATTTCAAAATATACTAAAGAGAAAAAGAGAAGAAATAAAAGCATTTAACTGATTTTGCTCCTATAATGGTGCACACACTTCCACAAAAAATAACTGTATTTTACCTATCATGGAGGAAAATTAGCCAAAGCAGACTTTAACTGGGATTAAAATGAGGAAAGACCATTTAGATCCTCAGTCTTTACTTTTTGAAGGCTGAACATTGAATCATTTATCATTAGTCTTTTGCATTCATATTTTTTTGTTTTATTTACTTATGTCTTTAATCACTTTTTAAGAAGTTTAATGTTTCTTTGATCGTGGATATGTCAGGCAAGACATAGAGTGGGATTACTCAAAAAGCATTTATTTAAAAACTGATGTATCAGAGTAGCAGCGGCTAGGGTGTCTATCACTGGAAACTCTGCAGAAAGGAAACACAGGTTAGTTAGGATGTAAATATAACAGAGGAAGATTATGAATGTAATCTGGTTTACAAGTTCAGTCCGTGCCCAGAGAACATGGTAGAATCCAATGGGTGGGCTACCAACAAGATGTGGCGGGCACTGTCCAGAGTGTCCCAGATGCTGCAGCCATGGAAAACAAACAGGAGTCCGAAGCCAGGTTAGACAACCAGATCCGAACAGTGGATATAAGGCAGGACAGGATCAGATAATTAGAAACACTAAGGAACGCTAAAAACACTTTCACCACAGGCTGGAGAAAAATTATCTGGCCCTGGTGACTGGGAGCAAGCAGTATAAATGGAGACAGGAGCAGGTGGATCAGATGAGCAGTAGAGAGAAATTGTTCTGAGTAGACAGGTGAATGAAATGAATAATTAAACCAGTCATCAGCGCCACAAACATGACAGGATAAGTGCATGGGAAATCCTTCTTCACTATGTTTTTTTTTTTTGACCATAGGGGGAAAAAGAGCTCCAAACATTATGCTTGTTTCTCTTCCTCTAACTGAGGAGAGGTGGGTAGGAGTTGGGACAGGGTGCAGCTGTCTCCAAAATGTATTAAGAAACAGTAGAAACGTCTGAAACAGAAAACCAAATAACATTCAAACAGCAGTGTAGATGAGGGCCAAAATATATAGAAACATGTTTCAATTTCATATAAAATAACTTACTGATGTTAAAAAGGTCTTTAATTTATCTGCATTCAGACGTTAACTCTGACAGCCCTAATTGCAAAGTTTTTTCAACATTTCTGTTGGTCAGCAGAGGCTGGAGAGAGGTTCATTTTCTAATTGAGCAAGTATTTCTGCATTGCTTATGTCCTTAAATATGTAGATATTATGATTATTATCATTGTGATATTTAAAAGAAAAACTATTCTTGCCTCAATCAGTAGCTACTTGGTTTCCCCACAGTGTGTGAGGCATGTGGGGGGAAAACTGACGCCAGGTAAAATAATAGGGTTAATAATATGGCCTTAGTGGCATAAGTTGTTCAGGCCAGGCCAAATACTGAAAAAAGTATATTTTACAGAAGGAGACCATAATGAGCTTATTGAAATCTTATGAAAAAGTTATCACTTCTATATGTTTGTAAAGATATTTCGTTCTATATCTGTTTTTTATGTTTTTATTTACGTGTTAACAACATAAGGCCTGAAGTTAAAAAATAAAAGTGGATTTATGACACTTTAAAATCGTCTCTTATAGGTTTAATTATTTTCGGACTAATTTCTGCACAGAAACTATTGATCGATGGACAGATCCATAACAAATATTACCCATGTTTCTGTTGCATATTTGTATGCAAGTGTTACTGTGCCTGGCCTTCCAGTCCAACAAAAGTTCACATCATTCAAAAAAGAAAAAAGATTATTAAAATAATTCATAATTACATCTTTTTTCTGTTTGCATTGAATCTTACTCTGGGTCACTGGAGTACCGGAGCCTTCTGGTTTTATAATGTCATTGACTTTTATTTTTTCTTATCGACTCTTGAATTTCTTTAGATCAGACCATGTGATGTGTTCCTTTAGTGTTCCTCAACTTACTACTGCACTGGAAAAGACAGTATGCAGAAGAAGTAGTAAATTACGGCATACCTTTACTGATGCTTTCAAGCAGGCAAAATAAAATATTTGACTTCTTTTAAAGTAGCATGGCAATATTAATTTTGAGCCCATGAAGTGCTTCAAATTGCCCCTGAAGATAAGCTTTTAGGAATTGGTTGTATAACTCAGAGACGTTTAGGAGGCACCATGCAAAGGCATGGGTGTAAAATATACAGTGTAAATCAGAGTTCAGCTTTTTTGTGTTTTTCTTTACTATTTCTCAAAAATGTCAACATCAGCTGTAAAATGTTCACTTAACATCTGGTGAAACAGTTTATTTTTTATTTTTTTTTAAAAAAAGGAAAATTCTTAAATGTTGTAAGGTGCTGGTGAGTACGCCAAAAACTTATGGGCAAAAGGTGCCTTTGCAAGTTGCCTTCTATTAAACAACTAATTTAAATGTAATTTTGCTCTAAACACTTAAGCTTATAGGAGTCGAGTCAGAGGCAGATGTCTCAGCAAATGAATCACAGAAACATTTTCTGGCGTTGGATCGGAGAACTCAGTTATACATTTTAAACATGAAACCTGTTTTTAAATGTTGTTTTTTGTGTTTTAATGTTTTTGTTATATTTTACCCAAATAATCTTAAAACTACACAAATCTGCTTTCTGTTTCCAATTCATTCAGATTCAAGAACAAAATGAGAAAAATTAAACAAGGTGAAAACTGTAGTTTGAGTTCTGATGGGCTAGAGGGTTTTTTTTTTATTTAGAAGACTAAAAAATGTATTTATTTCTAAAATATATATTATTGCCAATCATCAAATGTGAATAAATAAATAAAAAATTCAATTTAATTTGTTCCAATTGAAAGAAGATTAAGGATTTATTTATACCAAGGGGGTATCATGGTTCAAATAGAGGAAATGACCACTATTTGGCAACAAGTAAAAGATTTCAGTTACATTTAGATAGCTGCGGGACGTCGGAAAAAAAGTAAAAACCTCTATAATTGATTTGTTTTTTCGGAGTTCTAAAGCACATAGTGCCAACACCATTAACAGCAAAACTTTACAATTTCCAGCACAGTTAAAAATATATATAATTCCTCTCTATTAGACAATGAAGTAAAAACCAAAAGTTTTGTGAGGAGATGGTCTGACTGCGTTAAACTTTACAATCCCTACACAATTCTGGACTTTTTAGCTTGAAAAACATATTCATGCTGTGTCGTTCTTGTTCCTTTCATATCACTTCAACTTATGTTAGTGGAAAAATGAAATTGTTAGATTAATTTAAAGACGTTGAACTTAACTCAAAGCTTTTGTGATGACTGTTCATGCAGGTACCGGTAAAAGCATATTAACATGTTAGAACCTATAAATCAGCAGTAACTGAAAGCAACAATAAAATCAGGATCATTTATATTAATTAATCAGCTAATTGATAAGGAAAATTTACAAAAAAATTTGTTTTACCATTACTGTTAAAGAAAGGCTCATAACCAATCTGAACAACAGTGAAAATAGCAAAGATAATATATTAAAAAATACAAATCCAGTATGGACAAACTAGTTTAAATTGAAGAGTAGGATCATTATTTGCATTAATATCATCCACTATCAAGACTCATCGACTAAATTGCAGAGTTTTTTTTTTTTTTTTTGCGTGAAAATACGATTAGATTAAAAACATATTTCTCTAGGTAATAATTCACTGTTATCATAAAGCCTAGTCTTTTATTTGTAAATTTTCAAAAATGTCTTTGCACCATTGAGCAAACTGACAAAAGGGGTCACTGTTGAGGCAAGTAAAAAAAAAATAAGAAAAGGTAGCTGAAACTTTCCTGAATGACAGCTTTCAGCCTGACAATTTCATTGATGTGAAATGAGACAGACATGACAGCAGAAGGACTTATTTACTGAATGACTGCAGCAGGCGTATGAATCGCTGACTGATCATTTGAATCTCTTAAATATAAAGGATTTAATCGCTTCTCCTTTGCGCCACTTACTATCCTGGATTGAAGAACTTTTGTATCAGAAAATAAATATTTTGATATAAAAAAGAGGTTATAGATGATAAAACACTGGAATTTTTATTTAAGAAATAGATGACCGCCTTGTTCAAAACAGAGACAACCCTAAAAATAAGAGTCATAAAACCTCCTTGTGTTACTAAAGGATATTTGAACCAAACTTCTGTCATTAAGGACCCGTGATTGATATCTTTGGCCAACTCTATGAAATAAATCCAGTTATTTTTGGTCTCATCCTCTGCCAATAATAATTCCTCAAAAATTAAACATATTGACCTTTAAACGGCTGTTAATACAACATTAGAGGGTGTTGTAAGAAAAATTTAACAATCCGCTTTAAAACAGACTTTGCACTTTATGAAGTAAATACTATTGCAAAACAGAAACTATTCTTCATGCATTTCTGAAAAACCTCAAGGAGTCAGTCTGCTGCATCACATTCTCACCTCTTAAAGCTGTATGTCCATATTAAAATATATGGTTCTAATAGATCAAATAAAAAAAAGGATCTTTATTAGATTTTGGTTTCATTCTAAATTTAAGCTTTTTTTCACAACATTTTAAGGAAAAATTAATAAAATTATTTGTGTTTGTTGAGAAATAACCAAAATAGAAGCAACAAATCAAAATTGTATTTTCCTTGGGCTTTAATCTACAGGAAATAACACTAAAAAATAAAATGACAGTGCTTTTTATGTTTATTTTATCCTATTTATTTTTATCCTATGAAATAATTTGGAAATGGATAAAACATTTTTTAATTTTTGCATTTTTGACAAGGGCAACAATTTTGCAGCTTATGCAGCTGTTTAGATCATATTTGATATAACTGGAGCAAACTGAATAAACTGTCCTTAGATGAGGGGAAAATATTATAACTTTTATTCTCACACAGTATTTGGGGTCATGTCAACAATAGCAGATCTTTTCAATAGCATGCTTTAAAAAAACAAAAAAAACACCTCCATATGGAGCAAGAAACAAACACTTTCATTCAACAAAAGCTATTAAATAGAATTTACAGGGGAGTGAAATCTTCCACCGAAGACAATGAATCAAAACACAAGTCGTAAAACTTGTCTTTTCTGTGATGTGATATAAACAGTGAATAATCCAAACTTGTTCGATCTTCCCAAAATGAACTCGTTAAACTTTATACACACACCGAGCAAAGACCAGCAAAGTTAAGAACTACAGTCAGGATATAAGAAATCAACCCGAAATGTTCGAATATCCTTCCAAAAATGCACCTTAATATGCACTTTGAACTAATGACTGACTGTATTGCACTATGTTATAGAATTTCTACTGCTTGAATTGACTAGAAGGTGTGTTGAGCCTCAAAGAGTGCTGGTCAGTTCACTCCCTTACCATTTTTGTCATTTCGAACCTACAACCGACAGCTGATGATTTCAATTAACTGCTCATTTTCTACTTAAGGTCATTTATAACCTAATTTATGATTTATTAAGAGGAAATTAGATAAAAAGGTTAGTTTTCATAAGAGCTTATTGATCTTTAAAGATCAGTAGATAATCTATTTTCCAAAAATAATACTGTAAGTCAAGTATGTGCATTGTTATAATAGAGTATCTCTGCAATTTCTAATAAAGAAAAAAAATAAATGTCAAGGAACTTTTAAGCAGATGATCAGCTCTACAGTATGTAGGTACGAAATGGCAAAGCCTAGGTACGAAATTGGGCAAAGTGATCAGTGTTACAACATACTCCTGGTGTCCTCTCTCTTGACATGATCAAGTGTCTTCTCGTGGCACTTGCTCCTCTTATTCTGGTGCGTTTTGACGTGTTTGGCAAGGTGGTCGCTCCTCATGAACCTCTTGCAGCAGTCCGGACACACAAAGCGCTTTTCTCCCGTGTGAGTCCTCAGGTGTCTCTGCAGCTCGTCCGACCTGGTGAAGCTCTTGCCGCAGAACAGCCAGTTGCACACGAACGGCCGCTCCCCGGAGTGCCACCTCAGGTGCGCCTTAAGGTGAGACGTTTTTCCGTACACCTTCCCGCAGCCCGGTATGTGACAGATGTGCTGCTTCTTCTTGCCGGGCTCGTCGCTGGAGGTGGAGGACTGACAGTTAGGGCACCTGCACCGTCTGCACCTCCGCGCCGTGGCGAGAGGGGATTTGGTGTGCAGCAAGGCGGCGATTTGCGTCTGGTATTGCGCAAAGTCCGTGTGCCCAAGCACCAAACCTCTCTGCAGCTGGAAGCGGTGGGGACCAAGAGAGGAAGAGTGGCTGACGTGGTTCCCTTGTTGCAGGCTCCACCACGGGATGTCCTCCCCGGGGTTTGGAGATAACTGTCTCTGCGGCTGGTGAACCAGGCCGGACGGTCCCGTCACGAAACCCGGCATCTGGGGCGGGATGGGCCCCGGAGCTGCGTAGCTGACGGCAGGGACGTATGTGGGGGGGCAGGTGGACTGAAGGGACTGCATGGAGCAAGGTAACATCTTAACTGGGGAGAAGTCATAGGGGTAAGAGGGATCCGCCGGAGGGGTGAGGGGCAGTTCGTGATGGGAGCTAAAGGAGCTCTGGATGTGCGCAGAGAGCTGAGGCTTGGAGGATAGTCCGAAAGTTGAGCTGCTCTGGGGGCTCCCTTCGTTAGTCCACGGGTGAAATAAACGCGAAGGCGAGCCCAGAGTGGGATCGTAAGGAACTTGGAGGAAATCAGCGTGGTTGGATCCGTGGTGGTGTCCTATCCGGTTACAGGTTGCGGCCAGGAGCGCCAGAGGAGAGTGCTTACAGTTCTCTGGAGAGGAGTTTGGAGTGCGATCCTGGACGACAGAAACACAACCAAAACAAAGTTCATACATAAAACTGCCAATAAACAACCCGACAGTCAACGTTCACAAATATAGAACTTTAATAGGAAATAATGAGATGAAAATGAAACTAAAAAACAGGAATAATTCAGATTTGCACGCGCATCCTGGACGCGTAAAACAAAAAACATCATTCAACACGTTCTGCTTAATAAAACAGTTTTACCTTCAACTTCTACCTTAAAAACGACCATAATCTTAATTTCTTTTTTATAGGAAAGGTGGAAAGGTGAAGGAAACCGCTCACTTTTACATTTTTCAACTTCTTTTGAAAAAAATAAAATAAAAGTAATAATGTAAAACGTCTCCCTCAAAGTGAACAGAAAAGTTGCGCACAAACCTGGAGGAAAGCTTGCAGTGTTTCATTCCGCAGAACAGCCACCGCTGCCATGGTGCGCGTCCTCCTCCACCCGATGCAAACTAATAAGAAATAAACGCGCTAATTTTGACCAAATGTGGCAAAAAAAGAAAAAAAAAAGAAAGAAAAATTGGTTCTTGTCGGGGCAGGTCTTCACTCTCCTGTACCTCCTCTCTCCGATATATCCTCAGTCTATCTGAAGAGTGAGGGATCACTTCTTAGAATTTGATAAGGACTTTGGTGGGCCGCCAGCCAGTCAGAAATAAGATTTATTACTTTGAAGTTTGCCGCTGCCCAATCATCAAAGAATGGCGGCTCTTTGAGAGGGGAAAGCAAATCCTTTGAATCCACAAAGCTCCTATGGTGTGTTTGTTGGTCTGGATAAAGGAGCTGATTATTAGGGGGGCTGGGAAGGGAGGAGATAAAGGCGGGACAATTAATGAAGTAATCACTATGTGGGAAATGTATATACACAAATAATTGGATTTTCTTGATCAAAGACCTCCATGCCGCCTGGAGACCCTGGTATTGGATGCTGTAGTCATCTGATCCTCTTTTTGTAATTAAGGATTTGTAGCAGAACCTTATGTGACAATGTGACATTGTTATCTCTGGAGATCTCCAAGAGCGTTTTTTTTTTTTTTTTGGCTGCCTTGTTTGATGGAGGGAGAGACCAAAATCAAGTGACTCAACATGAAGTTCTCATCTCTGAAGAATCTGCGTCTCTTTTACATTCCTCATTTTAATTCAGATTTCTTTTTGTTGTGGCTTTGAACCACAGCTTGGCATTAAACACTTAATTATATCCTCTCTGAAGTATTATTTTTTTCAATCATCTATTTATCAGACGCTAATTCGAATTTAGATTTTTTTTCCCCTCCATCCTAATTAAACAATGAAATTTGGACAAACTACAGAAGCCCACATCACTAAGTCAGGTTCACATCCCCTTACACAGCCAGAACTGATAGGGACCCATATTAGCAGCATTACCATGTGTATTTGAGCCCTGAATGATTTTTATTTTAATGTTTTGGCTAGATAGGTAGTTAGTTTGATAACATTTGTTCTCAGATAATCTGTATGCCTAAATCATTTGGTAAGCCTGTATGGGTCTTAAATAGATAATAAGTGAAACAGTTAAAATAGCCTAGATCAAGTCCATATTTTTGTGAAGCTGTCCTATTATACATATACAAAAAGGTGGAACAATGTTCCCACAGGTGTCCTCATCTGAGGTCCCTTATTGAACCCATTTCCTTCCTGCAGGGCCCATTCTGAGATACTTAATTTCTCTGGATTGTTTTAAGGTATGAACTATTTTTTGTCTGTAATGTATATAAATTTGAACAAAGTTAGCCCATAGAAGGGTCCTCACCAGTTTTACCAGCAGTCTTAGTCTGTCAACACAATGGGTCCAGTACCTGAGAAACATTGTGATTAACGCCCACTTAAGTATTAGCAAAATCCAAATGGGGGCCATGGCATGAAGGCAAAAAAGTTGAAAATAAATAACTTTTTCACTAACCTATAACAAAGAAAGTCAATGAAATGCATGTACAGAAAAAAGTAAATTAAGGACCAGCTCAAAAAAAAAAAAAAAATAAATAAATCAACGGGGGAAAAATAAATATAGGAAATATTAGTATAGAGTTTGTTGTTCCTATGTATTTCTGTTTCATTTTTAATATTAAGAATCAGGGATGTTGTTAGGATCTTAACATATTGTAGGATGGAAGCTTGTTTTTATATTTGTCAAATGTTTTATCAAAAGTTCACTAAAATAAAAGTATTTAATATTTAACCAGCAATGCAATTGAGAGCCGGTGGAACAAGTATGTTCAATTTATTTAAGCTAAAGGCTCTTATGTAGTTAGCCAATATTTATCGGGCCATTAAAAGTAGAAATTGGTTAAATATTTCAACCCAAAAGGTTTCATGATTGTTCTGTGTTAACTGATTGTGAGGTTCAGATGCAGATGCAGATATAAAATGTGTATCACAATTTGGATTTCCATAGTGAACTTCCCCGATGCTATTACTGATAACTCAAAAACCCATTAGAAAACCAAGTTAAAACCTGCGTAAGGTGGCCTTTGAAATTACTACCCATGCAGCTTTAGTAAAACTGTCATGAGGTCTAAAGGTTCTTCGGCTTTTCAATTTTTTAGTGTTTAAAGATTGAAATGAAAGCTGTCATTCTTTGCCTTTGAAGGGAAACACAGGTGTATTATTTAGGAAAGCCAATGTTCCACAAATCTATACAATACTATATTTGTTGTTTTGTTTCACAAAATTTAAAGAAATTAAAACTGTTCAGTGTCATGAGATAACATCCCAAAACTTTTGTAGCAGAAGTGGAGAATTGGAAGTTTGCAGTTTAGCTCTCTGATCTTTATCTAGCTTCCCTGCAGAAACAATCACTGTCCTCTCAACTAGTTTGGAGCAGCAGATTTTGAATTAGATCTGTTCCTTTGAAGGGATTAATGTTCCCAGTCCTCTCCCACGGCTTTACACACAGTCATGAGGAGGGGGGGATCCTGCTGGGTTTCACTGGAATTTGGTAAAACTACAATGCAAGTTGCAGAAGACATAGAAAAAAGGAAGATTAACATTGTTTACATCAAGCTATGGCATATCTAGTTTAACATGTGTTGAAAAAAAGATGCAATAAAGTCCCAGCATTGCCTCAATTGCATTCAATCTATCATTTGCAAACTTTTACAGTAGGTCTATGCCAGCAAAAAAAAAAAAAAAAAAAAAAAAAAGAAATCTGAGGGAAGCCCCTCTACAGTTATGGCTTGCTTAGTGTTTAGGACATAGTTGTACAAATCTATTTATTAGTGATTTATGTTATGGATAAATCCAAAGTTATTATTAACTGTAAATTAGATTGTTTATTTTCAACCATTATTTATGCTTATTCCTGTTTGAATGCACAATGCTTTGGTTTTATCATCATTTTTAAATGCAGTTGTAAATTATCATGAGATAAGAGGCTAAAGTCTTAAGCATGTCTTAATTTTTTGGTTTGAAAATAAACATGGACAACAATCAGATTTGCACGGGTTAAAGTATTGAAGATGACCACAAACAGAAAAGGATGAACCCTGTGAGGTGGGAATATGTAAGTTTATACATAAGCCTTTTAATTTTGGAAATGAAATAACACAGTGCAGTATGTGAAGATACAATTTCTTTTACAGTTTGAATGATGTGGTTTATGTTTAAGTCAAAGTCTGAAGAAAAGCCACAATTTTAATTAATTCTGCCAGATCAGCTCATTCTTGCAGTGTTTGTCATCAACTCAAATACAAAAACAAAAAATAAATTTTCTTTTTCTCACAAATTCTTCATCTGTTCCAAAAAATAGAATTTTTGATAGGAAAAAATCATGATTTTAATTCCTTCTATTAAGCAGAACTCAATACCTGGTGTTATATAATGGTTGTGCAGTCTTTGGCGTTGGCTTGACATCAGTGTCTTAGCCGTCTGAATAGACAGGTGTGGAAATGTCAAACCTGAAGAAACTATAGAAGCTCAACACCTTTTCTGAGTTCCACTGATCTCATTACTGTTTTAAAATGAAAAGTAATACACTAATATACAAGTCCTCATATTCATCAAAGGTTGTCAGTAGAAAGAGACAGAGATACTGAGGTCAAAACATTTTTCCATCTTTGAAATTTCTACATGCACAGCAACTCGTCAGTTTTTTTTTTTTTTTTTTTGCTTGGAGGTTTAAATGTCAGATAAATGTCTCATGTAGTAATCTGCTCTTTCATGTCTAACCAACTGTTAAAGCAGAGAGGGAACCCACTGAAAAGAAATAACAAACAAAACAGTTTTTGTTTGTTATCCATAAAATTGTACATGCAAATTCTTAATTCAGGACCCACTCCCTTTTATATCAGCTGTAAATGCAAGCAGATGGGACATGGGAGAAAACTTTTATTTGTAGGTGACAATTAGTTTATTTCTTCGAGCCATCAGCATTAATAAATATTACTTTCCTTTTAGATGTTTGGTTTACCCCTTTACATACTGCAAGATGTGCATGCAGCACTAAAGGAGTCTAGCTGGCTAGATTTATTTGGCTGAGCAGGACTTTAATAAAAAAACAGTCAGAAATATGCTGATATACTGTATGCTTGATATGTTGAATTTACTTCATCTTTTACCATGAAGGGGCTAGGCTGGAGTATTTCTCTTTAGTTTTATTTCATGCCTTTGTCAATCTTCTTCTGCTGCATTAAACAATATCATGAACATTAAGAACTTCCCCCAGCTGTAGCATGGGCTCTCAAATATTCCTTTTCCAATGCCAGAACTCTCCTTCTCAACTAGTTTGGATCAGGTGTCCTCAAGTTTTTCGTGTTTTGTTCAGAGCCGACACCCATTTCCATCAGTCTTATGAACCCACCATGCACTACAAACAATGGGCATAACACAACACAGAGATGCACAGTTGGTCAAGTTAATGCAAGAAGAGAACATCAAGAAAACTACAACTGAAATGGCACAAAAAACTGTGACTCCTTGCAAGAACAACAGATCTGTCAGAGAGGGTTGGAACAGACAATACACAGAGGACTGTGAATAATTATGGTGTGGTAAAGATTAAAATAATTATGAAGAGGAAGAACATTTTAAATGAAATCTGAATTATGTCATGCATTTATGTTCAGCTCATTTTAATACCATCACACAAAATGTTATGCAATCTAAATTATCTAAAAACAAAAGAAAATATTAAATAAATTCCCCCGAGTGCGACTTTTATGTATAAACTTAACTTTTCTGTAAAGTTTTGAAAACATTTGTTCTCTGGACAACTAACAGTCATCCATAAGTGTCTCCTTTATTAAAGAGTGTCAACTTTATTGTTTTTATAAAAAAAGCTATAAGGCGTTACATTTGCAGGTTGTCAGAAGCTACAGGGGGAAACAGCCAACTCTGCCTGGTTAAAGAGGACAAAATAAAAGCTTTTGCAAAATCCTGTATAGGCAGAAAACTTGCATCATCCACATTGTGAGACATGGTGGAGAAAAGAATCATGCAGTGGGGATGCTATTGCTCAGCATGGAGAGGAGCTAAACTAAGGAGGAACTCAGGAAAAAAGAAGGTCTAAGAGGCTGCAGAAAAGTGGACGCTGAGCAGGAGGTTCCCATCCCAGAGGAGACATATTCAGCCAGAGCTACAGTGGAATGTTTAGTCAGGGGTGCCCATTTTCTTGTCCTTAAGTGCTTCTGTTCTGCAACTTAAAGGTGCATCACTTCTCCATCACGCCGGAGTCAAATAAATGGTCTCATTACCCCCAGCCCTCTAGAGCTGGAAATCATGATGGTGAGGAAATTTCATCTGTTTGACTCGGGTGTGTTGAGAAAGCAGGAATCCAAATGTTGCACTTGACGATTGGATTGGGGCACCTCTGGTTAAGACATAAATTTAAATGGAAATCTGCAGCAATATTCAACAATTGGTTTCCTCCTCTTAACCCGATTGACCTTCAGCCTTTTGTCAATGAAGACAGCACAAAAATGTCAGTTTTTAAAAGTGCAAGAGTTCTGAAGACATACTATGACTTAGGACTTGTAGGTGGTGTTGAAAAGAAAATTGGTTAAAAAAAAAGTACAATGGAAATTTTTTTACATGCATGTCTTTAAAAAAAAACAAAAAAAAAAACTTTAATTTGTGATGTGATGACACTGTGATTAGTGTTACTGTCGTGAAGACAGGAAGCACCCAGGTTCAAATCCCGTCGATGGCCCTCTCTACATGGTGTTTGGGTGTTCTCTTTGTGCAGGTATGGATTCTTTTGGGTTAGTCAGTGGAGTGAATTTTGTTCCAGCAAAGAACTTAAGAGTTAAAGAGTAAGTTAGACATGTTCCAAAAGTTGACCCTTCAACCTACCTCTTTACTTCACCTTTCAGAGGAAGAACCGCTCCCTGAAGTGCGGAAAATGATACGTATCAACAGGCGCGCTGGAAGCTGTTTCAAGCGAGGGGGGCTGATGGCTGGGTTGGAAAACACATGACGTCATTATGTTGAGGGCTGTGGCTGACGTTTTTAACATAATATTGTAGGCCTATATTTGTCGCCAAAAACTGCCATTTAAAATGCATCGGAACAAAGCATGAACATTTTAAACTTTATTTCTTCTCTTTTAATCATTCAAAACAAACAACAGTTCCCAATCAACAGGATCAGGAATAAAACATGGCCTAAATTTAGCCTAAACTGAGCATTGAACGTCTTGAAAGTCCATTCGACTATGGATATGGGGAATGATTTCATATCTGAAACAAAACACACACACACAAAAAAAAATTTACTAATTTCATTTTTTATCACTAAATAGCTTAATACAGACATAAAATTTAGTGATATGCAGCCTTATTCTAGCGTAGACTTCTTCAGCCACAGGACTAAGACGAATAGGCACATAACGCTAAATGCGGCAGTATAGGGGAATTAAAACCATTTCTTACCCCGAAATAGTCAGAAATACGTTTCTGCTGCCTATTGCTAGCCATGCCTAAACGAATGTGAGGTGGCGGAAGCTTCTGGGGGAGTAGCCTAGTTTTTTATGAAATATTAAAATAATGAATCATTAGTTTATATCTTATACACAGCCCATCATTTTAATCGCATATCAAACATAGTCTTTTAAAAAATAAATACATAAATAATTTCATGTTTTTAAGTACAATATTATGTTACTCCACAGCCCCCCACCATGGGGGGCTGATGCTATGACGAGGGAGGCTGCAGCCCCCGCAGCACCCCCCTTCCCGTGCCACTGCGTATCAAGGTATTTTGAAGACATCTTAGAGAATTATGGACTCGAACAACATATCTAAAAATGTTTTATAAATAAATCAAAACCTAAAAAAAAATTGAAAAAAAACAAACCCTGAGAAGGTACCAAACTTCAAACATCTAGGTTACACTATTCCATAGATGTTGCGAATTACTCCCAAATATCAATTTTTGATTGAAGAGGTTTTTAAAGTAACTAAGGTTACCCCCTTTCTATGGAATTTGTCAAGTTCTTCACGGAATATATACAGAGCAGCAAAATAAACCAGGAACATTTAGTAGAAATAGTTGTTTCCAACTACAGTAATGCTGCTAAATTTTAAAACACTATTCAGACTTTAATTTATGTCTGTTATTTGTTCAGGACCTTGCCATGCTTTTAATGTTTAAATTCTGAGTCCTTCTATTTTTTTTCAACCACTAATGATGGTAGAAAGGAAATATCGGTTGTCAAAACAAATTCTGGACTTGCAATTAAATTGAAACAAATTTATCTCTATAGATAACTTCTACTCACAGTATAAACATGATCATGAGGTTAATTAGCCTCTCTAAATTAGCCTTAGAAGTGATTTGTGTGCAAATGTCTCTCTCTTGTGTTACAGACTGTGTATCGTGCCTCTTGTCCATTGATTGCTAAGGATAGGCAATTTCCCGCCTCATGTCACACTCCATAGACATCAGACATATGGAAAGTTTTGTTTATTATCTATACAATTATTTGTATATGACAAAAAAAATCCCATGACATGTATTGTGTCATGGGATGTACAGCCAGTTGTGTCAATGTGGCTGAAGGAGAAAGAGTAAAAGTTTAGGTGAGTAAAAATGTGTGAACAACACAAAAACAGGATTGCTTAAACATATTTATTTGGGTCATATAAAATAGAAGTACTTCTATAAATAAATAAAAATGTAGAAGTAGTTTAATCTTCAGATGTCGTTGGTTTCGGTTCTGCTGTAGAACAAGGCGACCTGAAAGAATCAGAACAGATAACAGCACCATTATATCAGTATTTCTGTTAGGCATCACATAAATCCTACAAATGGTGATAATTGTTTCCATTTTACAGCAACTTGATTAACACTTCTTCCTGTGATCCACAAAGGATCAGTGGGGAAGTGTGAAGATCTTGGCAGTCAGAGCAAACTGACAGCCAGGTCTTCACATTTGACAGAGTTGTGGGGCAACGCCACAACACGAGCCCTTCTCTAACTTTTTATATTCTCCGGACAGTTGCAGAAAAAAAAAAAAACAGGTTCCACATCTGTCTCATAGAAGAGATTTCAGAGGCTGTGAGAGTGAGTGTGTGGGAGAGACAGAGACGGGGGAGAAGAGGGGGAGAGATGCTCGAGGCTACTGGGTACTTGAGCCTCTATAATGGTGTCTCGTATGAGAAAACATCTGTGAATTTCCTCAGTGATCTACAACAAAGTATAACTCAGAGCAGTCACTCAGCAGACCTTTGAAGTCACTGTCTGACAGAAAGCTGCCATTGTTCGCAGCCCCCAACACACAGAAACTTCAACTTTGGTCTCACTAATTTTCCCTGCAATGCGATACTACTCCTCTACCCCCCATTCCCCGCTCTTCTGAACCTATGAAGCTGGGGATCTCTGCATAAGAGCAAACAGCAAAGCCTTGGCAATGTGCAGCATTGGCCCCGGGTCAAACGAAGGCGGGATAGGTCATTTTACCTCCTTCCAGCCCATCCTGGCTGCACTAATCCAGCCTTAAAGAGGAAATCTCTGCCCCCTCTGCGATGATGTACATGGTCCCTGCCTGTAGTGCTCTCTCAGGAAACATTACAATAACACAACATCACCTCCAAACTGAGATGTCACAGACAGAACAAGCATCGAACATTTAACTGCTGTCACTGGCTTCGAGCACAACACGCTGTTTAAAGTTCAATCATCATTTAGTGCCTCAGAATTACAACCACATATTTATTTGTAATTCATTATTATTTTATGTGATAGACATAATTGTTGTAAAAAAGATGAAAGGTGATACTTGGTTTTCAACAGCTGTTTGTGAGCACAATCTAAAAGGTGTGGCATGCATTTTTTTCAACCCACAAAGTACATACCTCTTGGAATTTTCTTTTATAGCGACTGTAAAATAATGTCTGTTGAGTATGTCTACCAGCTTTGCACATTTTGAAACAAAAGATTTCACCCATTCAACATTGCAAAAAATAAATAAATAAAACTCAAGCTGAGTCTAAATCGATGGGGAGCATCTGTGAATATCAGTTTTTAAGCCTTGCCACAGATTCTCAGTTGAATTTAGGTCTGGACTTTGACTAGGCCATTATTACACATAATTATGCATTGATTTAAACTAATGGCTTTAATACTTTCTATGGTCATTTTCACTTAGGTGAATACGAATGTTTTTAAATACCATCTATGCGGAAACCAAAATACAACAGGAGTTAATTTTTTGGTTAATGCAAAAATGTAGAGAAGTCCATTTAATGGACTGGTAGGATAAACGGGATACTTTCGATTAAAGATACCAAAGGACAAGAATCGCATTTTTTCTTCCTTTCTTTAGAACATATCGTGAATCTCCTCCAAACTTTTAAATCCATTTTACCTTTTCTTAACCTTTTATTTTTTCAATTATTTTTCTGATTATATGCCTGGAGAAGACCTTCTCTGAATAACCAGCGTCATTATTATGACCACTTGTGGAGCTATCAAGAGTGTTTTAGGTGCATGTTTACCTCATGGTTGTTCAGGATATAATATAACATTTTTGCATCAAAATCTTTTTTCTTGGTTGTGATGTGATTTTCTGAGAACATAAAATTAAAGTCTCCATTAGCTTTAAGCTACAAACATAAAATTAATAGAAAAAAAACAGATTGGATAAATCACTTTGTGCATCATATCAGGAATATGAGTTCTGATTGTTAAAACCCTGAAATAAGACATGTTTGATGATGTTGGAAGTTACAGAGATGCATGGGCTTATTTCAAGAACAAAGACTGATTTATAAAGAAGATAAATATGAAAATTTGTCCACTGTGCTTGACTTAAAGAATAAAAACTAAGTTCTGCTGATCACCGGGTGAAAATTGCAGCTCCATGCTGGCAGTGGCCAAAATGTGACAAGCTTTCTGTGATGCATCTCAAACCGAAACAAGGCCGTGGTAATTCTCACACTGTTACCGGTCCAGCATTTATTCAACGGCAGCTGGTCCCACCATCTGGGACAGCAAAGATGGGGCTAAAACAAAACAGGGTCACACCTTTAGCCATGCCAAGTCTGGTTGTGCCCCCATCAGGTATGCAAACTGAGAGAGGCTCATTTTAATTTCACGCTCTGATTTGTCAAAACCAATTCCAGCACCGGAGGCAGAAAACTTTAAGACAACACATTTCACGGTGCACAGCATCACAGACTACCCTGTTTGTGTGTGAACCTTTTGTTTTGCTTTATCCTTTTTAAAAGTGGGAGGAAACTGGTTCCAGGTCTATTTTACAAATGAAAAGGAGGCTGTAATTCTGACTAAAACATTTGGTCACCTCTAAGACCGAGCAGCCGGGAAGCAACTCTTTCTTATCCCTGCATGCATGCATTTTATATTCATGCAAATTTGAACAACAAAACAGTGCATAGAGCGTCCTCAACAAACTGCAGGTGAGAGAAAGCTGAAACAAAAGCTACTGTAACCCTAATGGCATCCCTGGTCATTAAGAGAGCTTTGATGTATGTACTCAACAGACTCTTTTATCTCTTTCTTCTTCCCTTCCTCTTAGTCTTTGTGTCTCAACCAGGCTCAACCAGTTTCTTTATTAATGTCGTCTTTAGGGAATGTCTCTGTTGCTTAGAGCCACCAACATACATCTGACATCTGAAAAATGTTAGTTTGTTCAATCATTAGGCAGCAACATGGTGCAAATGATGACTTTTTTTCGCTTTAAAAGCTATTATCTTTTCCCCTTTAATTGAATTTAACAAGAGTTAAAAGTGTTAAACAGTTGTCTGTTCAAATTCTTTACAATAAATACATATCACCCCTTGTAAATCTCCTTTAAGCTCTTAAATGTTTTCAAACCTTGTTGGGTCAAAGCCTCATACAAAAACTGTATTTAATTCTGATTTTTTTTGATGGATCAGCACAAACTAACTCATACGTTTGAAGTGGAAGGAAAAAATTGGTTAGTTTTCTTTATTTTGCTCATCGAAAGTCTCCAGCATACTCCATTAGAAGATTTTTCTTTTCTTGCTCCCAAAGCTGCAAGAACATAATTGTCATTTTGTTCTTGCAACCCTGTCTTGAAGGGTCTCTAGTTTTTCTTCACATATTGTTTGGGCATATTCTTTTTTTAATGAAACATGTCTGAGAAAATTTGGATGGCCATTGTTAAGGTGGAACAGTGGCAGCTTTTTTCAGGTTTGTAAATATGTACAGTGGTCTGTTACTTAATGGGTAGTTTAAGGATCGACTGATCGAGGCAGTGGCATTGATTTGTATTAGCATTTTATGAGTATGATTCATGAGTTGAATTGTCTTCTAAAGAGTTTTCTTTCAGCCCTTCCACCTTTCAAACCAAAAAATGCCTCCTCTGCCTTTGTGTTGCTGTTGTGTTTTCTAACACTGTGCTATATTTTCAATCGTTGAACTAAAAGCTACAGCTGAAAATGTACGACGAAACCGCAGGGTTTAAAAGTTCACAGCTCATGATGTATGTTCTCAAACGTGTGTCCCGACGCTCTGATGCGATCTACCTTCTCAAATTGCACATCCAAAAACCACACATCGGACTCAGCGCTGAGAGATGGAGCTGGTCAGAATCGTCAATCTTTAAGAAGAACTCCCACGTTTGCAGAGCTTGAGGTTCTGATAACTTGGCTCGTGGATGCTCATAGCTATACATCAACAGCAGGATTTGTCCACAAACACCTTGCAATGGCCGACTGAATTCCAAACATGTTTGATTTTCTGCCGAACTTACGATTCCTGATTGGGAGGTGGTTGTGAGAGGCTAAACGGCCCTCGTTGCCCCCTGTATACTACACGACACATGATGCATGATGATGCTGAAAAATGTTTGACTGGAGAATCACCCCAAAAAGGGCAAAAATCGTAGTGTAGGCCTGGCTTTAGCTACAGTGGATGGGAATTTCTGAGTTCTGCATTTGAGCTTCTCATGAAGTGTGGCTACTTGGAGGCTAAACAAACTTTTCTTATTCCCGCCACCTTTAGAAAAAGAACATGTTTGGTTCTTGCAGAGTAACAGTTGTGATAGCAGCAGCTACATGTGTGAAGTTTACTGTGGTTTGGCTCTGGGATCAGCAACTCTTTCATCACAGCTATATGTGTTGCCTTTAACCACAATAGTGCAACCTGATTGGCGGAGCCGTTTGTGGTTGATTTTGAACTATTGAAGTGGGAGTGGTACAAGATCGACTGTTGTGTGTTTGTGAAGGCACAATTACCACAGGAATTTTGCTTACAGGCAAGGTTAGAAATAGGAAACTGCCGTAAGAAAGTCATAAGATGATTTTTTTTATTTATTTTTTTTATTTTATCTCTCACAAATCATACGTGTTGTAAAATATGGTAGTAGTATCATGCTCTGGGGAGGCCACAAAATTTGATAGGACAGGATGGTTAAGAAACAAAACCCAGAGAGTCCGCTGATAATTCAGAAAATGCATGTTTACAGGCAGTTTCTATCCAATCTAACTGAGCGTACCTATCTAACTCTAGATGTGCAAGGCTAGTGAACACATAACCCCAAAAAAGGGTTTCTACAAAGTGTTGAGAGATCTCGATACAATTGCATGCCTTACTTTTCTGACTCTTAGTAAAAACCTTAAAACAAAGAGTAGTTGTGTTGCTTTCACTAATATAAGCAACTGTGTGTATTTTCAAATGAAACCCAATAAAATACATTGAGGTGTGATGTACAAGGATAAAATGCAGAAGAATTCAATGGGGTATGAATACTT